ATAATTGGTACAATGCAAGAATAAAAATACAAAAAGTTGATGAATCTTATATGTAACCTCTACATATCTGAAAGCACATTGGTGGTTTGTTCTCAGACCTTTTCTTGAAAACCTAGAATACAGGTGTCCACCATCTTTTTTCAATGAAAGAAGCAGGACAGGTTGTGTGGGAACAAAGTCAGGCTTCTTGTACAGTCATAAAGCAAAATTTCTAAATTATTGCATCAGACTTTGATCTATGTCTGTTCATAGGTTAGTCTAACAGTAAGCGCACTATTTTTTTACCTTATACCTAATTATTACATTCAGGATTGCAATAGAAGAAACTAAATAATTTTCTTCAGTGTGTATTAAAAAAGTTTTTGTTACCAAAACGTACACAAATATTTATTGGTTGATAAAGCATCTTGACATTTTCCAATTAAAGAATGCAAACTAGTGACAGCAGGAACTACATACAAGTCACCCAAATGAAGACTATATTAGTATTAATATCTTCCCTCTCTCCAATTTTCCTCCCATAATAAAAAAAACATTTCCCAGTACACTCATCAGCTACTCAGCACAGTATGTGAATTGGACTTGGTATCAGCCTGTTCTAATCCCATGGGTACATGATTGAAAGAGGGAAAGGCAGCACTAGGTGTTCGTCAAATACACATGTGCAGACAAGGAGCATGCTGACAGGAAGAGACAGCAGATTGAAAAGAAGGATGACCTTATCATGGATGTTTCCCATCCTTCTTACTTTGAGCAAAGCAGTGTGGAACTGGAAGCCTTGAGCCAGTAAGTTTGGTCTGTTTGGAGGCCAAGGTCCCTCCATGAGAAGTCTGAGTATGACTGTGTACCACATTCTTCTGGGCCAATTATTGTGATATGAATCACCGTGATGTGGGAGGATCTTCATGAGAGGGAGGCATTTTGGAACACAAAAAAATCTGTTTAGTGATTTTAGGTCCAGTATTGGGCAGACGGCCCATTTAGTTTTGGACTGAGAATCTGCCTTCCTTTGATCTCAAACTGTTAGTCTTGAATGTAATAAATGATCAGAGGGTAGAGACAGAACATCTCTTTTGTACCCTTTCAAATGGCAAATTGGACTCATACGTCTCGGATTCAGACCAATAGATATCCCCTCATCCCATGCAAGAGCCATATTTACCCACATAGGGATGCACAGGTGTTCTGTACATCCCTGTGTAGGCAGTCCCATTCATGTCAATTGACACACGGTAGCACAATTTGACATCCTTGTGAGTTCAGGTGTGTGCTAGTCTACAAAAACAGACAAGGTGCATTTGGGGACCCACACCTGCACCCACCTACACCAACACCCACATGGCTGTAAGCCATGTCAAATTACATTTTCAAGAACACAAAACAGCAGAGCTGATGGCATCAGCTGTAATTGTTCTAAGAGTGCAAGGCCTTCAAGTACAGGTGCCAAATTAGCATTTGTGAGGTCAGGTACTATAGTTGAGAAAAGAAATGAGAATGCCAGGCTTGGAATCTGCATTCAGATTCATCCTTAAAATGTTCATTTGGTGCTCCTCCAGACCAAACCCTTCTGATTTTCTCTTTCTGGACCAAGCTTTGTGAACATGGGATAGAACGGAAAAGTGCCTTCCCTAAGCTGCTGCTGAAAGAGTGAGAGAACACAATTGTCTAAAATGTCTTTGTAAAAATTTGCTGTAGCTTTAACAGCACCCCCTTCCCTGGAAACACCTGAATTCAATAATTTGGAAGGGTACCTACTTATTTTTGGCCATAGTGTAGTAGTGGTGGTTAGGTGTCCACTTATTTTAATTTCATAATTTCAGATGCATTTGTGTCTGTTTTGTTTTAAAAATTCCTTCTCTGTTATCTTGCATCTGCATTGGCATCATACCTTTTCTAACAAAAAACCTGTGATATCTGTGTTTGAATGCAAGATGATGCAGGATGAATTGTTTTGACTTTTTTATTCTGAAAACCCCAATTGTAGTCTTATAAAATTCCTCAGTGGATAAAAGTGTGATTTTGTACCTATGATTACACAGGTACAAAAATTATTAAAAATAATGGGAAAATTAGTGTATAACTTAAATATTTAAAAGTCTTTTCTGGGTAACAGTAAGAACAAGCAATGCCCATTGTATTGAACATGATATAATAAAACACAGGTGTATGAAAAACAAGTCATTGGGTAAATAGAGCAAGGCCAGAGGTGTAATTAATCATACATGAAAAAATGGGCGTACATTTTCTTTTAGCAAATTATATGCTAGAAAAAACAATCTGATCAACATATAAAAGTGACAGATGTAACCCATTCTTCCTGCCTTGATCATCATGTGGACCATACTCATCCTCGCAGGTATTGCAGCAGTGTCTGCTGAGCCCCGAAACTTTCATGGGTAAGAAGGAAATGCATGATATAGCAAAAATGTAACTAAATGAAAATACTCGTATTAGTTTTATTCATATTTTTTTTTTATATTTTTAGGGAGAAAGTATTTCGGGCGTTTCCACAAACATATGAACAAGCGCAGCTTATAAAATCTCTGGGAGGACATGCAAAGGTATGTTATCAATTTAGAGTTTTACCTTGAACTAATAAATATTTGCCTCTTCTTCAGCTGAATCAGCATTTATTTATGCATCCAAATTTTCTGAATGGAAACAGGGACAATATTTAGTACAATCTATTTAGCAAAAGAACATTCTTGCCATTCTTCTGGATTACAGGGGCTGAAAAATTAATGGGCGAAAATGGTCAGTGAAGCCTACTGGAGGTCATTTTGCACTATTTTTGTATACAGTTTTATATATTATATATATATATATATATATATATATATACTGTATATACAATTTTGTACATAAGGAACTGTGTGACTTTTGAAGTTGTTTTACATGCTAGTGGTCCTATATTCCATTTATGTCTGTTATAAAAACTATACCCAATTCAGGTATCATCAGCTGTAACAGGATATAATGTTCCTCAATCAGTTTTTATTTTCAAGTTGCTCATGCCAGTGGTTGCACTTTTCTGCTAGCTGTCAGATTAGAGTCTAGCTAAGGAGCCCAATGGATCCTCAACAAAACATGATAGTCAACATATTACTGACAATTTAAGTCAGTCAATCATCACTAAGATATTCAGCCATCACAGCAATGGACCAGTTATAAGGGCCATGAAATGGGACAGGCCAGAGCAACAACAAACAAAACTGTTGTGTTTTACATTTGTTTTTTCCCATAGGTACAATTTAGGAAATCGTTTGTCCCAGAATCTTATGGTTGAGCACTATTTATGGATATCCAAGTACATGAAATTTATATATATTGGATAACTACAACATATCTAATGATACAAAAAAGTAGATCAGTTTTTAAAATGTATTTTATTTTCCATTAAATACAACTCTGCAGAGAGTAGTAAGTAGTCTCAATGGCCCTTTGTTCACACTGGAATATAATGTTTTCCTCGCTCAAGAACAGAATGGTATATTACAGCAAGCATCACGTAATTTCACATGTTTCATATCTGTCATTGTTAGTGAAGGAAATGGGAGTCACAGGAATATCAATATTGTCTTGAGTTTTCTTAGTACTGTGTATTTCTAAGAAAGCAACATGTTGTGTATAGCATAGTAAGCATGAATCAAAACTGCAGACTATTCTATAAAGATCTTTACAATACTCGTAGATAGCTTCTAACAGCTAGCCTTCCACTCAGTAAATATTATATTAGATAAATTGGTAAATGTGATTGTGCATCTCATTGCACCCAGTCAGAACCAAAAGAGTCTTATTCAAAATAAGAAAATCTACATGACCTATCACATATCACACTGTAGTGATTTGTGTGGCCATTCATTGTGAATAACTCTGCAATGCACTATACATTAGGGGAGAACACACAATGCCATGCATTGTGGTGCAGTGCTGCTTAAAAAAGGGTTATGTGTGTTTTTTGGGTCCATTGTAGTGCTTTGGCAATCCATTCATGGTGAATAAACTAATATACGTAAACCAGTGTCCCAAAATACTAAACCCTGTGAAAAACACTCTAAAAAAGCCTCACTTTCACCCTTGAAAGTATAAATTAATTAACTAAATACCCTTTTAGTGTTCATATAATTAATCAAATACCCTTCGTAGTGTCCATATAAACAATATAAGTAATCAAAATGTAATCAAAATAACAAAAATAAAGCCCATAAATAATTTCTTCCAAAAACTTGCCATGTAAATCCAGTATGTGCCGTATACCTCAAAATAAAAGAAAACTCAATAGTGTATTATCCTCACACAAATTCTTCAAAATATCACAAATAATTATACCAAAACCCTATAGGTCTCATGCAAAAACGCATAAATCGTGCAAACACTTGGTGACCTGTGAAACACGTGATAGTGAACCACTCTGTGTATAAATATTATAAAGTACTTCAGTGAATTCTCAGTGCACACATCTAATGTGGCTGAATTGCATACCCTTACCCAAATGAGTAATAAGCCAGCCTTTATATATATATCCAAAGGAGGGTACAGATACAGATCTGCTAGGACCTTGTGGGTACCTTCTGATCCCCCAAAACTCCTATCGATACTCTTGTCTCCTTTAGCATTCCAGTATATTCATTCATAGAGAGAAGAAGATTTGTATAGTGTAGTATGTTTAAAGATATGATAACTCCACGCTTTATTAGTAATGTTTACATAAAACGGCACACATCAAGCTTAAAAGATCCCATGATCCACCTTGCAGCAGCTTCCAGGAAAGCCAACCGCTTTTCCCACAGTTAAAATGGTGACACCCCTTATGAGGAAGTGACAGCCGGGTGCCCACTAGGCATGCGCGAGAAGCGCTGCGCTTTGTGAATGGTCCGGTGTCTTCTGGGACACATGACAGGTCCCAGAAGGCGCCGGGCCATTCACAAAGTGCAGCGATTCTCGCTCATGTGCAGTGGACACCCGGCTGTCACAGAAGCCGGCGCAGAAAGAAGAGGGAAGGACAACTCCGCGTAAGTGGGAGCAGGTACCTGTCAAATTCAGGTACCCGCTCCCCCTCCCCAAAGGTCCACAGTCTCTGGTCATCCCCTGCACTGTCTGCAGTCTCTGGTCATCTGTACTATGTCCACAGTCTCTGGTCATTCCCTGTACTGTGTCTGCAGTCTCTGCTCATCTCCTGTACTGTGTCTGCAGTCTCTGGTCATTCCCTGTACTGTGTCTGCAGTCTCTGCTCATCTCCTGTACTGTGTCTGCAGTCTCTGGTCATCTCCTGTACTGTGTCCGCAGGCTCTGGTCATCTCCTGTACTGTGTCCGCAGTCTCTGGTCATCTCCTGTACTGTGTCCGCAGTCTCTGGTCAGCTCCTGTACTATGTCCGCAGTCTCTGGTCATCTCCTGTACTTTGTCCGCAGTCTCTGGTCATATCCTGTACTTTGTCCGCAGTCTCTGGTCATCCCCTGTACTGTGTCTGCAGTCTCTGGTCATCTCCTGTACTGTGTCCGCAGTCTCTGGCCATTTCCTGTACTATGTCCGCAGTCTCTGACCATCTCCTGTACTATGTCCGCAGTCTCTGGTCATCTCCTGTACTTTGTCCGCAGTCTCTGGTCATATCCTGTACTTTGTCCGCAGTCTCTGGTCATCCCCTGTACTGTGTCCGCAGTCTCTGGTCATCTCCTGTACTGTGTCCACAGTCTCTGGTCATATCCTGTACCGTGTCCGCAGTCTCTGGTCATCTCCTGTAGTATGTCCGCAGTCTCTGGTCATCTCCTGTACTATGTCCGCAGTCTCTGGTCATCTCCTGTACTGTGTCCGCAGTCTCTGGTCATCTCCTGTACCGTGTCCGCAGTCTCTGGTCATCTCCTGTAGTGTGTCCGTAGTCTCTGGTCATCTCCTGTACTGTGTCCGCAGTCTCTGGCCATCTCCTGTACTGTGTCTGCAGTCTCTGGTCATCTCCTGTACTGTGTCCGCAGTCTCTGGTCATCTCCTGTACTGTGTCCGCAGTCTCTGGTCATCTCCTGTACTGTGTCCGCAGTCTCTGGTCATCTCCTGCACTGTGTTCGCAGTCTCTAGGCCTTCTCCTTTACTGTGTGCGCACTCTCTGGCCATTTCCTGTACCATGTCCGCAGTCTCCCATCTCCTGTACTATGTCCGCAGTCTCTGGCCATCTCCTGTACTGTGTCTGCAGTCTCTGGTCATCCCCTGTACTGTGTCTACAGTCTCTGGTCATTTCCTGTACTGTGTCTGCAGTCCATTGGTTCTGAATATTTTTTTTCTTGTTTTCCGCCTCTAAAACCTAGGTGTGTCTTATGGTCAGGTGCGTCTTATGGAGCGCGAAATACGGTACATATAAAGGCTGGCTTATTACTCATTTGTGTAAGGGTATGCAATTCAGCCACATTAGATGTGTGCACTGAGTGTTCACTGAAGTACTTTATAATATTTATACACAGAGTGGTTCACTATCACGTGTTTCACAGGTCACCACGTGTTTGCACGATTTATGCGTTTTTTGCATGAGACCTATAGGGTTTTAGTATAAATAATTGTGATATTTTGAAGAATTTGTGTGAGGATAATACACTATTGAGTTTTCTTTTATTATGAGGTATGCGGCACATACTGGATTCACATGGCGAGTTTTTGGAAGAAATTATTTATGGACTTTATTTTTGTTATTTTTGACTAAATTTTGATTACTTATATTGTTTATATGGACACTAGGAAGAGTATTTGATTAATTATATGAACACTAAAAAGGGTATTTAGTTAATTTGTTCATGGTGAATAGGCTATCTTAGTGCAATGCTAGTTACCATGCAGCAAAACGAGCATTAACAAACAGAATGTATACATGTGAATGGGTCCTTACTGTAGCGGTGGCATCAGTCTCACAGACTCCTGCCAGGCTCTCATTTGCCATTTGCATCTTCGTCTTTGAAACACCCATGGGCAGTGGTCACATGGATAATACGTAAATGTAAATCTCCCCAATGAGAACAGGATACCAATAAAGATTTACAGAGCTTTTAACCCTTTACCTCTCTTTCCATAAATCAGAAACAAACTTTGGCCAAAATTACACTTTAATTGTTCAGTATTAACGTATTAATGTGTTCTTAAACCCTCCATAAAAAAGAATAATGTAGCAGTACACCTTATATTATCATTGTATCCTGTCCACTGTTTTGTGCAATCTTCGCTGCTTATTGAGCCTTCGGAAGTCTAATGTCTATAGGGTGGCTCTTTGACTTGCATGGTCTGCCTGGAGCCATACGGACATGGGAACTCCCATCCAGAACCGAATCTTCACACACTGCTTAGTGCTATGCTCCGGGGTTGCGGTGCTCTGCTGCTGTATTCGTCCGGGACATGTGTAGTACAAGTCGCTAGCCCTCTGGTACTGTGTTTGGCCAATGCATGCACAACTAAAAACAGCTCAAAACAAACTTCAGAGCATAATAAGAGATAATAACAATATATTAGATGATAGTTGGGTGGAGATCACAAATCAATGTCACATTATTACTAATATTATTACAGGTACTTATTTAGCACCATCAATTTACATTTACAATTCCATCAATTTACAATTTACATTTACAGCAGTTTACAGTTTATATATATATATATATATATATATATATAACACATTTAAGCTTTAACACTACTTTAAGTAAAAACATTGAGATGTTTATAAAAATATTGCTTTGTTGTAAGTGCATTTTAAATTTGTCTAAGGATTAATTTTCGGGCATAGAATGTTGTTTCTGACAGACCTTTAAATATTGCATTATAGAAATATTGTAAGTCTTGTTGTTCTAACCTTTCCTCTTTCATGTGTATGCCTATAAAATGTTCTTTTTATCTGAATCATAAAGACACTTCAATGTCCTTGCACAACGGAAAACAAAACTTAAATCATCTGGCAATACAGTAGAAATGCATTTTACTTGTAATTTCAAAAGGATTTTTTCACATTCTTACTGTTCCATTAACACTTTCCTATATAGCATTTGTTTTGGAGGTAGGCAAATAGTAAATGACAAAGGGCTGCCCAGGGGTAGGCAATATTGGCACTGCAACTGTGGCAAAACTACAAATCCATCATGGCTCTGCCTTAGGAAGTCACGCCTGTGACTGTCAGTCTTGCAATACCTTATGGGACTTGGCCACAACAGCTGCCAAGGTTGCCTACCCTTGTTTTAACCTTTCCTGCTTGATCCATAACTAAACTCACTTAAAGTAGCTATGTCTGGATAATTATATTTATTTATAGGATTTAATAACTTGAATCAAGGTAACAGATGGCGTTTAAAATAATGCTTTTTGAGGAATACAGCTACAGTGTGTAGCAGAGATTGCCTACAATGGGTATTCACTAAAGAATCAATGAGCTCATACCAGTAGAATCCATAAAACATCTGGTTATGTAATGGATATGTGAGTATTTTATGGCAGCCTCTTCCTACATTTAATCATAGGGGGTTCAAATCAACAAACAAGCCTCATTTTGTTAATACCAAAGTCACTCCGTTCTGCATTTTATTAGTTCAATAATTATTGTATTTTTACAATACTTTTAATGAAAGTAGCAATCTTTATTTGGAATACTGTAATCATGGATTATCATTTTAATTTTACATAACAGCTTGACTTTTGGGTTCCCGACTCTGTGGATCTCGTAGAACCAGGCAGACGTGTTGACTTCCGTGCTGAGAGACATGTGTCCTATGATGTTCAGGCCATGCTTGAGCAGAGTGGAATTTCATTTGAGTAAGTTGAACTTTAAAGTTAAATGGCAGCCTATGGATCTGGAGGACACATTATGCTGAATGTAACTTAGATAGGGAAGGTAGTCAATGGAGATTTTTTTTTACCTTTTTAATATTGCATCACGACACACTAAAAGTCTTTTTGGGCAAATAATTTACACAACATAAAATTGGGGGTGTGCTGACATGGGTGCCATGGTAGCATTTACGCAGGTTTGTAATTGCAATTAATGAATGATTAGCACATGTATAAATGTCATTCACAACATCTGAAGTGTCTGCTTAAGTATGGGGTTTTGTTTTCTTTAATATTTATTAATGTGTTTATTAAAGTATATCTCTGGCCGAACCATTTTTTTTTTGGGGGGGGGAGTTGGCTGAGAGGGAGGATTTACTGTTATCTTACACATCATTGGAGAGATTTTCCTCTTTCTTTATGTCCGGTGACAATGATGTCACCAAAAGGAAGGTGAAGTAACATCTGCAACAGGAATACAAAGCCTTCCCCCTACTCTAAGTAAAAAAGAGTTTTGTATCGCTTCATTGCATTGTTGTTGCAGATTTTATTCTACATTCTGTCTTTTGAAACCATTGTCACTGAGATAGTAAAATAATTATTGAGAGGAAATCTTTCTTATGGACCCCCAGCTAACTGTATAAACAGAGATGCTAATCTTTCTCTATCCAGAAAGAAAAAAAAATAAAAATGTACATACACTTGATTTTATTTTTCAGATCATGTATAATAGTGATCTATATTTAGCTGTTATCACCATAAAATAATCACATATTACAGTTATTTGAGTAAGTTGAGTCTCTTCTAAGATGGCCTTAGGAGCTTATTAGACATCCAAGAAATCAGGTAGACACTGCATATTCTCATGTTCCCTCAATGCAGAATTATAGTTGTTATACCAGGATGCAGTGACATCTTTTAAATTGCTCTGTAGTATGATCAGAAGCCTAGTTGAGTTGATTTAGTAATTCGGCATTGAGCTGGATAATAAACAGCCAGTGTTTCCATCTCTGACCGATTGCAGCCACTGCAGTGCTGAGGCAAAGATCATTTTAAAACAGCACTAGGAAACAAAAAAAGTCCCCCAGCTAACTAACCATCTGATTTTTACAGCTATGTTTTTCTAAAATGTATAGCATATGATAATCTGCTTTATCTTCAGAATTTTGATCGATGACCTGCAGGTTGCACTGGAAAAGCAGCGTGATAGCAACATTCGTGCAGTACACAGCTATGAAAAGTACAATGATCTTGATACTGTACGTATGTCTACTGTAGCATTCTAAAAATGTATATGAAGTATTCATGTTAACTAAATATATTTGTTTCCCAAAGATCAATGCCTGGTCTGCTAACATTGCCGCTCAGAATCCAACTCTGGTGTCCCGCTTAGAGATTGGTACCTCATACGAGGGACGTCCTTTGTATCTGCTTAAGGTACTTTTACTATCAGGATGATTGTCAGTTTAACTTTATACATATTCATATTCAAATATAATGTAGTGTCATAAGGAATAATGATTTCTCTAGTTTGGATGGAGTAGAGTGGGACTGGATTACATGTTGGGTTTTCCTGGCTGTCCAGGAGCCTTAGTAGGGACATGCTTGTCTGAGCTGTTTATTCTCACTTGCCTGTGTGTTCTCCATAAATCACTGTAGAGAAGCTTTTCTTAATATGGAGGAACCCTTGAAATAATTTTCAAGTCTCAATGAATGGTGAACCCTTGATAATAACTGCTACAGTATATCTAATGCTCGCAGTACAATAGTACAATAGTCACTGGGAAGAATGCTCCTCACATTTGAGGTCATTGGGATGAATCCCTCTAATAGATAGCTAAAAAGATAATTAGTGTCAGTGTTTACCTATCTGAGGGGGAGAAATTGCTCATGGAATCCCTTGCAACATCTAAAGGAACCCCAGGAGTCAGTGAAACTCTGGTTGAAAATGGCTGTTGTAGAGGATACACTAGAGGCACAGAATATACATATACACATAGTTTGGTGAAAGCAAAGTGGCAGCTCTGCAGAGACACTCACCATCTATCAAGTCTGTGCAATAATAGGATTCTGATGTCCACTCCACACAAATGGAAAAATCTCTTTAGCAAGACTTACAGAAAGATGTTTCATTTCAAAATGATTTTTAGTGAGTAGACAGGGCCATTTTTAGAAACTCATTTAGTTTGGGGGTAGGGCTCCCAGCTTTGCCAGCTAGCATAATGGCATGTTTACTATATTCCTTTATGATCTCCCCATGAGTGGCCAACAAAGATTCTGGCTGCTTTGTGGTCTGTTCAGATTTTACATATTTTTCTATCAAGGACAGGTATGTCTTCAATAGCATCACCCTGCTCTATATTGCTTATTTGGTAAAAAATGTGTGACGCAAAATGAATGAATTTGTTTATATTCAAGGTTGGAAAAAGTGGAACAAACAAAAACGCTGTCTTCATGGACTGTGGATTCCATGCTAGAGAATGGATCACCCCTGCTTTCTGTCAGTGGTTTGTGAAGGAAGTGAGTACATATTCCTTTGCACAATATCAAGTTAGGAGAGGCTTTAATGGAAATATGGAGTGTAACATGATGATTCAAAGTCCTGGTAATTTTTGGGAGCATATTTATAATGTAGTGATGAATATTTGCTGCCCCAAACCAGAAAACAAAAAAGACATTACCATGCCGGTATAAGTAAGGGTAAATCCGGTGTCAAAGTGTACTTTCAGAAGCACAGGTCATGCAAGGAGAATACGTCACTATATGGGCCCAATGAGTCCGGATGAAAGTGTGAGATGGCCTCGGCTGCCACTCCAGCCATGCCCTCTGACACGTGTCACCCTGCCCACAGGAGCTTTATCACAGAGGTGACCTCTGTGACCAAGCCCCAGTTGGTGGGGCAAAACTCATCAGAGGGCATGGCTGAAGTGGCGGCTGAGGTCATCTCACAGTTTCATCTGGACTCATCAGGCTGGTAGAGTGGTGTCTGTCTCCTTGTAGTAGTGATATTTTGAAAACATTCACTGGTGGTGAATTATTTGTATGTTAAATACATTCAGTGGGAAGATTCACCTGCAGAGAATATTTGGTGAATGTCACTTTTACTGCTTTATAAATATGCCCTAGGGGTCTTCAATGTAGAAAGAATTGATTATGGTTATATTTAAAGATTTTTTTTCATTTATATAAAATTTTTTATATATTCACAGAATATCATAAACATAATTTCTAGAGTGCCTTTAAAAGTCAGTTGTGGCCAATTAAAAAGGCCTTGTCACAAGACAACAAAAATCCTCCCATTTGTATGTGAAATAATGTATTTTATGCATGGTATTTATCTGCAAAAGCCTCCCTAGTGTAGACATACAAAGGCCTTGAGACAGCTAGGGAGCCACCATCTTAGATGAGATATCAGCAGTTCCAACAGACTCTGATGAAAACATCCCTCTCTTTTCTGAGTTTTTACTGTGTTTTTCTACCTCCTTGGAACACCCACTGTGAGCTCCTGAACCTTTCTTTTCCCCATAACTCCATGTTGTTTGAAATAAGAAGTGCACTGCTCTATACACTCTCCAAATCACATAGACAATAGTCCAGATAAAGATAAGATAAAAAAAACCTTGAGCCTTTACAGCCACTTTAAGAACCAGAGTTTATTGTCGATTTAACCACTTGCCCTCCAGAAGATTTATCTCCCTCCCTGACCAGGCCATTTTTTGTGATACGGCACTGTGTTACTTTAACTGACAATTTCGCAGTCATGCAATGCTGTACATAAATTAAATTTATGTCCTTTTTTTCCCTTAAATAGAGCTTTCTCTTGGTGATATTTGATCACCTCTGCGGTTTTTCTTTTTTGCGCTATAAACAAAAAAAAATGAACAATTTTGAAAAAAAAAATTTTTTTTTTACTTTTTGTTATAAAACATATCTATCAAAAAAAAATTTAAAAAATCAAAGTTCTTCATAAATATAGGCCAAAATGTATTCTGCCACATGTTTTTGCTAAAAAAAAGTCCCAATAAGTGTATATTAATTGGTTTACATGAAAGTTATAGCGTCTACAAATGGCGGTATATATACTGGAATTTTGTTTACATTTTTTTTATACTAGTAATGGCAGTGATCAGTGACTGTAGCGGGCATTCTGAACCTGGGTGGGAACTGACTAACTGTCACTGACATCCCAATGACGCTAATACAGTGATCAGTGCTACTAAAAAGCACTGACACAGTAATAATGACACTGGGAAGGAAGGGGTTAACATATCAAAAGGTTAACTGTGTGCTATGTGCTGTTTTACATGATGTGCCGTGTGTGTTTTACTAGGGAGGCATGCTGTTTTGTATCTCTATGCTGAGCAGAGAAATACAAAGCAGCATGTCCTTGCTGGCAGGAGAGAGACCTATGTTGTTTAAACACAGGTGTCTCCCCTGTCAGCTTTCCCCGACGATTGCCGGGTGCCAGTGGGGAATCTCCGGCCGGGACCCTGTGATTGACATCCGTAAACGCCAATGGCAGCACGGGTAGGGCAGCGTGCGCACCCACTACTCGAAATGAAAATCACACATATATACATGATTTTGCACAGCCCTGCCACCCTGTAGCAATACTTCTACTATAGGGCGGCGGGCAAGCAGTTAAGCAATACTTTAGTCTTCTTTGTTTTGAAAGTTTTTTCTTTGTGCACTTCCAGGATATTCAGCCCTGTCATGTGATTTGATAATGAACTTCAATAAGCATAGGACATTGTATGAGATATAGTTAACTTATATTCATATTTGTTTCATATCTCAGGCAGTTGACAATTATGGCAGTGATGATCAAATTACCGATCTCTTGGACAACCTGGACGTCTATGTTCTCACAGTTATGAATGTTGATGGTTATGTATATTCTTGGAACTCAGTAAGTAGCCTGTGACACCAAATAAGAAAAAGGAGCTGTTATTTTAGTGTAACTAAACTTTCTAATTCTGGTAATGTTTGCTGTAGAACCGCATGTGGAGAAAGACTCGTTCTGCTAACAAGAATTCTGCCTGTGTTGGAACTGATCCAAACAGAAACTTCAACGCTGGATGGTGCAGTAAGTGGTCTTATGTTTTTCCAAAACATTTTTAAACTTAAAAATGTAATGTATTGCAGCTTACCAATCCCTAGATGTGGTGGCTGCATTAGTTTTATTAATTTCCCTCTGATTTCACCTGGTGATCTGGCCGGAAACACATCTATTGTATTAGAGTGTCTCCGCCCTGGATGAAGGAGCACAGGGGAAGCAGCACTGTCAGTGTAGGGGGAGGGGAGTGTTAGATGGACTAGCAGATTTAGATAACAAATTGAAGCCAAACTCCAGCTCACACTGCAGTTACAACTAACAGTTATTTTAGGATAAAGGTTTTCAATCAATAAATAAAAGCTGTTCCTTGTAAGCACCCCTTTCATTGGTAAACGGTTTGGCTCAACACTCTTACTGGTTGGATCACCAGATCATAATAAAGGAAAGAAATTCCAAAAAAGAAAACAAATGGAGCCAGCACGTCTAAGAATTTGTAGGCTGCAATATAATAAATGTTTGCTTTTAGGTTTGATACCACTTTAAAAATTATTTTAAAAAAAATGTATTTCTTAAATTCATGTACAGTGTATAGACCGGCGTTAGGAAATAAAGAATGTTCCAGTGTCTGAATGTTTGCTAGTCCCAACAGGCTTTGCCCTTATTGGTGTTGTAGTTTCTCCACAGCTGTAGATGTGCAGGTCATCTAATATGCAGATATGGAAGTTGTCTAATGACATCCTTGTATAATTACACTTGTAAACAGGTGCCTACGGGGAGTTGTGTGCTTAGTCTAGCTAGTTGGTGTGCCCAGCTAAGGAAGGGGTTAATTTCCAGGACCTCCATTTCTGGGGTTTTTGTCTAGGACCAGCCTTCTAACCCAGGCATAGATAAATAATGGGGAAGATCTAGTTTTGAAGGGAGGCCAGGGAAGAGTTGGAGAGAGAGTACAGCAAGAACTGGGAGTCCAGGAGTTTGAGAGTCAGCATGTAGTTCCATAAGATATGGTTCCGGTGGACACTACCAGTTGCTGGAGATTGCCAATCATGGACTAACACCTGTAACGATATGCCTAGGCAGCCACCTCCATTAGTTAGTTTAGGGTCTGGATTAAGTTGTGTCTGTTTGTTCTTCTGCTACAAAGAGTTACAGTAAAGTTTGTTCAACTGTTCCAAAGCCTGGTCTAAAATCATTCAAAGGGGTGCATGATGGTTTCTGGCGAATGAAAGAACAGGGCCAGTAAAGCATATATGGGGTATGAAGCATTGCTACTACAAAGGGTTAACTCAGTAGAAGACGTGGAGGAAGAGAACAGTTGCAATGGGCAAGCAAGGAATGGTGCAAAGTGTACAGCAGCCTGTTATGAAGTGTGGTACCTGGCATGGCAGAGGGCCTTCGAGTAGCGAGGGAGTCGGTGATCTGGCTTTCTCCCCACCAGTTGGTTCCCTGAATGCATCAGGATGGGTTCCGTGTTATGGAGACCCACAGACTACAAAAATGGAAGGAGCTAAGTGACAGCATGCATGAAATCCGCACTAGTGTTCGTTGGGACCTCATTCTGTTTTAGGAAGTGAGGTGACAGGAGTATGATGGATAGGTGGAAAGGGCATGGGCTCAGCAGTGTCCCTCCTAAATGCAACAAGGAAAGTGTGTAGTGAAACAGGATGTAGTGCTTCACAGAGGAACTCTGTAGGTCACAAAGCTGCACACAGTGTACGGCTCGTCTCTAATCCAGGGTACTGCCATAATGTTGATGTCACATGAATGTGGCCTGTCTGGTTCCGGGCATTGCAAAAATGAAAAAAGGTACACCCACATGCAGGGTGAGTGCCCCACATGCAGGGTGAATGCCCCACTCTCACACTATTTCCACCTAATTCCATCAAAAAATGCTTTAATTTAGTAAATGTAAATACTGCTCAGATTTATGCGGTATTAGTTAAAGTGAAATTAAACACACTGTTTAATTTACATTGTCCCTTCTCTTTCAGTATATGGATAATGACAATGTAATTATTTGAATTAAAAAAACATCTAAGTGCCTTTTATCTAATCAATATACAGCTATACAGCGTTACATGTCCCAGCTCTTTTCCAGCCTGTCTGCAGGGAAACAGTGGCTGGAGGAGCTTCTAGTCCTGTGCTACTGGTCACCGTTCAAAAGAAAAAAAAAGAAAAAAAGAAAACAGCCTTTGAGATACAGAGTTAAAAAATAAATAAATAAATATCAATAAACTGTTTTAAATAATCATACATTATATATTTGAAATCAAATCTTTATTATTTTTTGGCTATAACATGGTGTGGGTGGATTTTTGCCAATCACAGGCTGTGTCATGCCCTTTCAGCATCTCAGAATAACAGGGAGGTATAGCCTCCATCAATCTACAGGTAATATTCCACCCCCATTGTGTTTAGTTGGTTAGTGGGCATGGAGGAGGGAGGGAGTGGGCTGTCATTTACCACTGGGTATACACCCACGTGTGACACTATAGTCACATGGGCTAATCAGATGTGATAGAGAAGAAATGCTAAGCTTAGAAAGTCAATGAACCACTGCATTGAATCCCAAACTGCATTGAGGACATGATCAAAAAGGGGAGATAGAGAACAGCAGGATCAACCATGTTTCTTGCAGAAAATCCCATAGTGACTGAGGGTATGAACAGCGTGTAATACAGTATTTATTGTTAGCTTTTTATGTTGTGGGTTTAGTGACACTTTAAAGTAAGATGCTATATTAAGCCCTCCCTCCTAGATTGTAAACTCCAAGGAGCAGAGCCCTCCTATCCAGGGGCGGACTGACCGTTTGGAAACTCGGGCACTGCCCGAGGGCCCGGGGTCAGTAGGGGCCCCATGAGATGCCCTTGGTACCTTTTTCATAGGCTTTTTTTTTAGTTTGGGCAAGAACACAGGGGCCCCATGATCCCCTATTTCCCAGGGGCCCCATGAGTTGTCAGTCCGCCCCTGCTCCTATCCCTCTTGTATTGAACTGTATTGTGCTGAGCAAACTGTTGGCGCTATATAAATCCTGTATAATAATAAGAATAATATTAACAATCTGTATGAGATAACATCCACATGTGGGCTTCATGTATGAAATTCCTTGAAAGAAGAGCTGTCCTTGTTGCTCACAGTTTTTTTCTGCCATGTGTATATGACCTATTTTCAAAGGTTTTTTTTAAATGAATACATTGCTGCATTTTACATATTCAATAATCTATTTAGCGTAATATGGTTTTATTAATTAATATTTTCTTTTTAAGCTGTCGGAGCTTCTTCAAACCCTTGTGATGAGACATACTGCGGTACTGCTCCTGAATCTGAAAAGGAATCTAAAGCTCTGGCTGACTTTATACGTGCCAACATTGGCTCCATCAAGGCTTACCTGACTATCCACTCTTATTCCCAGATGCTGCTGTTCCCTTACTCTTATACCTATGCTCTCGCTAAAGATCACACTGAACTGGTAAGTTTGACAACACATATTTTTTGTTTCTAGATGGTGGGGTTGATTTACTAAGAGACGATAAGCTGTTTACTTACCAAAATAAGTTTTTAATTGGCTTAGAGAATAAAGTGGAGGTGTGTTGAGTTCAATCATCCAATCACGTACAAACAAAAAAAACTTGTTTTTATTTATTTATTTTAAAATCATTATTATTATTTTTTTCTTGCATATGATTAGGTATTCTTTGCAAAGGGAGCTTCACCTCATTCCCTAAGCTAAGTGAAAATTCACTTTACAAACTAAACATATTCTACCCATTTAGTAAATCATCTCCAATATATTATCAATGCACTGTGTTAAATTATATTTGAAAGTGTGTAAAGAACAAGTACACCAATTACTGATAACTCATGATTTTAAGAAGTTAGCTTTTAAAAACTATGAGTTCATGGAGGAATATGTCACCTAAAAGCATAAAACTATCTTTCAGTACCTTGCCCTACCTGACTTGTAAACAAGCAATGGTTTTGCTTACCTCTTGATGGAATCTCTTTAGAAACACGCTGGGATTGATTTACTAAAGACAAACAGACTTTTTATTTTGCAAGGGAAGTTGCACTTTGTGCAGGGACATTTTTACTAGAGCTTAGTTTATTAGTAAAAACACAAGGGGTTGTTGATCCTAGAAATATTTGACCACCTTCTGGGGAATCAGGAAGATTTTTTTTCCCCTACTGGAGCAAATTGCACCAAGAGATATATACACTTTTTTTTTTGCCTTCCTCTGGATCAGCTGTGGGATAGGATTCTGTGTATGGAAATCTTCTATTTATGTATTCTCCTTTTTTTTATTGGCAGAACTGGATGGACTTGTGTCTTTTTTCAACCTAAATAACTATGTGAATAATGTGAAGCTCTGTTGTCTGTCATCATCCAATCATGTGCATGCAAAAATATTGTTTTTTTCCATTTCCTTGTACATGATTGGGTATTCTTCACACAATTAAATTTCACCACATGCACTAAGCTCCGTGGAAACTTGTCTTGCAAAGTGCAACTTCACTCACAAAGTGAAAAGCCTGTTTTAAATCAACCCAATAGAAACCACATTACATGTCACCAATGTTTGGCAGTTCTAGGTGTCTTATCCTTTAACTTTTTTCTTAAAAGTTTGATTTAAACAAAAAAATAAAATAAAAAGAGCACACCTGCAGAAACATTATAAGATTATAATTTCAAAAATAGTGATACCAGTCAATGTGTAAAATAAATATATGAGCATGGAATTACTGAAAAAGTAGCCAAATCATAAAAGATACCTTATTTGTAAAGAAAATGTTTAAACAGATATGACATTATCAAAGTGTTTAGATACCGTTCTTTTGGACACAGGATGCTAACTCTCACTATTTATCTCCCTGATTACAAATGTACATATAAAAATATCAGTGTTAGCCTTGTCCTCAATTTCAATTACTACTAAACTAAGCCTAGCATAAGGGAAATATGGGCGCTACTATTGATGACTTTGTTCAAAAAATACTAATGTATGCTAAATGATCAGGTTCCCCATTATTTCTTTCCTGGTGTAAGCTGTGCAATTTCCCATACCTGGAACTGAACTCCTAGCTTGCATCAGACACTGAACTGGAGGGGCGGTAATATTGGATAGGCTTTGCTTTCTATTGCATCTCCATTACTCAGACTCTGATGGAACTGCCAATAAAATGTTATCCACTACTCCGCTAGCAGATTACTTCTAGATAAACTGATGCAGATTGGATGAGCAGTTTTTCATCCTCTCCTCTATAAACCCACAAAGGCATGGAAGATGTGGCAAATTTCAATTGACCGAAAGGCAGAAAGTACAAATCCATCCATTTTACATAGTGGATGCTGACAAAGCTAAACACTGGCTGCACATGAAAATTAGGTCTTGTATAGATGGACCCTAAGCTATATAAACACATGAACATAGGATTTCCTATTTTGGAGCGCATACATTATTCTATTTACTACCTATCCTTTGTATGCAGTAATAACAGAGCCAGCACAAGCATGTTGCGGGTGACAAAAACTTTAATTTATTTCTTCAAAAGTTATAAGTATCATTATTGCAGGTGGCTGTTCTTTGAGCAATGATACCCATTATAGAAAACCACACCCCTTTTATTTTACACTTACCAATGGGACATTATATATACCAGTTTAAGATGTTCACAAAGATGTTTATTCTTCTTTTTAATACATTTATGTCACCATGTTCTTTCAGAATAATGTTGCCAAGGGTGCTGTTTCTGCTTTGACTTCCCTCTATGGAACTAAATACACTTATGGTCCTGGTGGAACTACAATCTGTAAGTTATTATTATTATTGTACACAATTTATATAGAGCTAACAGTTTTCAGAGTGCTTTACAATACAAGCTCTGGTTCAAACCAAATTCTACTTTGAAATTGCGCTACTTCACTTGAAGTAGTGAGAATTCAAAGGTACAGATCAGTGCCATTTGTACCTTTGATTTCACTGTGGCTTGCAATTTCATTTAACAGAAGTCAATGCAAGTCGCAAAGAAATCAGAAAAAAGTAGTGCATGAACTATTTTTGAAATTGCACTGCTTCAAATCGCACTAATTAAGGCAGTGCCATAGAAATATATTATATACAACTTCAGGTGCAATTTGTAAATCACATGTCACACCTGAAGTCGCATAGGTGTGAACCAGGGCTAAAGAGAGACATTAGAAGTACAATATAAATTAAGATGAGAGGGTTAGGAGGGCAAGTGAAAAAAAAGATAATGAGTTGTTCTAGAAATAAAATTGCAGTTATTAGATACTGGCAGGATAGGCTTCCCTGAAATATGAGTTTTCAGGGATCCACTATAAGCAGATAGCGTAGGAGATAGCCATAAAAGTTGAGGTAAGGAGTTCCAAAGGATGTGAGAGGCTTTGGAGAAATCCTAGATGAAAGTATAGGAGGAGGAGCAGGACATCTTGGAAAGAGCAATGAAGGTAGATTGTGTGATATTTTGAGATGAGGATGGTGATTAGAGATGAGCGAAGTATTCAAAAATTCGATTCGGCTGATTCGGCGAATTTCAGGAAGAAATTCGATTCGATGCAAATTTATTCGCTACGAAGATAACTTAAAAAAGGGTTTCTAGGCTTCAGAGAGCCTTTAAATTAGTGCAGAACACTGTACCTTTAATTTAAATGCCCTTGGAGATGAGGAAGGAGAAGGAGAAGGAGAAGGAGAAGGATGAGAAGAAGGAGAAGGAGAAGGATGAGAAGAAGGAGAAGGAGAAGGATGAGAAGAAGGAGAAGGAGAAGGATGAGAAGAAGGAGAAGGATGAGAAGAAGGAGAAGGAGAAGGAGAAGGAGAAGGATGAGAAGAAGGAGAAGGAGAAGGATGAGAAGATGGAGAAGGAGAAGGATGAGAAGAAGGAGAAGGAGAAGGATGAGAAGAAGGAGAAGGATGAGAAGAAGGAGAAGGAGAAGGATGAGAAGAAGGAGAAGGATGAGAAGAGAAGGATGAGAAGAAGGAGAAGGATGAGAAGAAGGATGAGAAGAAGGAGAAGGATGAGAAGAAGGAGAAGGAGAAGGATGAGAAGAAGGAGAAGGATGAGAAGAAGGAGAAGGATGAGAAGAAGGACGAGAAGAAGGAGAAGGATGAGAAGAAGGACAGTTCTGTGACAGTTTCTATTTCTGACAGTTCTGTGACATTCACTCCATACAGCGGTTTCAACCGCTGTATGGAGGGAATGTCACAGAACTGTCAGAAATAGCCTATTTCTGACAGTTCTGGGACATTCACTCCATACAGCGGTTGAAACATTGTATCTATTTGTTTCCATAAATGGATCCATTTATGGAAACAAATAGATACAATGTTTCAACCGCTGTATAGAGTGAATGTCCCAGAACTGTCAGAAATAGCCTATTTCTGACAGTTCTGTGACATTCACTCCATACAGCAGTTTCAACCGCTGTATGGAGGGAATGTCATAGAACTGTCAGAAATAGTCTATTTCTGACAGTTCTGGGACATTCACTCCATACAGCGGTTGAAACATTGTATCTATTTGTTTCCATAAATGACATTCTGCAGATACACTTAGAGGAGCTCTGCAGATACACTTTTTGCCGGCTTGGAATTATCTTATTTTCATCCTACTTCTTCTTCTTCTTCTCTCCTCTTCTTCTTTCAGGATGAGGATCATGAAAATAAGATTAATTCCTCAAAAAGTGTATCTGCAGAGCTCCTCTCTTCTCTGCAGAATGAGGAGCTGAAGAAGAAGAATTTTCAAGAATCCTCAAGAATGAGAAGGATAGAAGATGAAAATAAGAATTAATTCCAAGCCGGCAAAAAGTGTATCTGCAGAGCTCCTCTAAGTGTATCTGCAGAATAGAGGAGCTCTGCAGATACACTTTTTGCCGGCTTGGAATTATTCTTATTTTCATCCTACTTCTTCTTCTTCTTCTTCATCCTCATCCTCATCCTCTTCTTCTTCTTCTGAGGATGAGGATGAGGATGAAGAAGAAGAAGAAGAAGAAGAAGTAGGATGAAAATAAGAATAATTCCAAGCCGGCAAAAAGTGTATCTGCAGAGCTCCTCTAAGTGTATCTGCAGAATAGAGGAGCTCTGCAGATACACTTTTTGCCGGCTTGGAATTATCCTTATTTTCATCCTACTTCTTCTTCTTCTTCTTCTTCATCCTCATCCCCAGAAGAAAACTTTTTGCCGGCTTGGAATTATTCTTATTTTTATCCTACTTCTTCTTCTTCTTCTTCTCTTCCCTCATCCTCATCCTCTTCTTCTTCTTCTGAGGATGAGGATGAGGAAGAAGAAGAAGAAGAAGAAGAAGTAGGATGAAAATAAGAATTCCAAACCGGCAAAAAGTGTATCTGCAGAGTTCCTCTATTTCTGACAGTTCTCTGACAGCTCCTTCACATGTACAGCGGTTGAAACATCTGTATCCTAAATGGAAACTAATAGATACAATGTTTCAACCGCTGTACATGTGAAGGAACTGTCAGAGAAATGTCAGAAATAGCGGAGCTCTCTGCAGGGACACTTTTGCCGGCTGATCGGGAAAAATCCGATTCGCGTACCCGAAGTAGGCAAATATTCGGATTCGCCGCGAATCAAATTTTTCCTGAAATTCGTATCGAATTCCGGTTCGCCTGGTTCGATTCGCTCATCGCTAATGGTGATGTAGCTGGAGGCAATACTGTGGATGACTTTTTATGTTGTTGTTAATATATTATTGCATTATTTTTATTCCATATATCAGTTTATACTGTAGGGGATATCTTCAGTTTGTAGGAAAACTGTTCTTTGCAAGTTACCTTCAGTCTTGGTTCACACTACTGTGACCTGTAAGTCGCGTGACTTACAGTGTGACTTTGCCAGGTAACATGAGTACTACTTTGAAGTGACTCTGAAGCAACTCTGAAGCAACTTTCAGGGAATGCCTGGGCAATCTTCCTGTAATGTTTGATCCAAATCACATCAATATAGATGAGTATCTTACTTTGAGGCGACTTCCATTAAAGTCTATGGGCACAAGTCAGATAGACGTCGTCGCCTAAAGTAGTACAGGAACCTTTTTCGAAAGTCGGAGTGACTTCAGTAGTACTAATTAAGACAGCTCTCGATGACTAACATGGGATTTCACATGTCATGCAAAAAGTCAGATCCCAAGTTGCAGCAGTGTGAACCGAGCCTAAAAGCCTTCTATTGTATTAATAAAATTAAATTTTACATACTATTAATTATTATTAGATTAAATTCACTGGGTGAATAGCTTACATTTTTTTATTTTTCATATAAGCCCACCATTGGTATTTGAAGAATGAGAATATGCATTGATAGTCTTCAGATTTTCCCATTTTTTTAAATGAAAACATGTCTTTTTGGAAGCTGGCTGTTAGCTCTGGGGCAACTTATACAGAAGTTTTTGAAAATACAATATATTTATGAAAGGAAAAATCCAACTATAGCTGACATTTTGACTTTTCATAGATGCTTCCAAACTATACTAATTATCAGTTTCTTATGAAATCTCTATGCTTGAACTTAGCCCAACTTTCATTTCTTTTTGTTTACTTACTTTATACTATGGAGAATAGAATGTCTCTAAATAGTTCCATTATGCCATTACTGTGATTTTCACAGAGGTCAGTGTGAAAAGGGGAAAAGGACTAAGGGAGGTGAGAACTACTCTATTCTTTTACATAAAGGAGTTCATAAAACAGACAGAGGGGCAGATAAAGTGACAAGGACAACAGCTCAGAAATTTTTCTCCTGGAGTTTCCAAGTCAGCTCAGTTGGGTTCATTAGAATCAAGGTATAACTAAAATAAGACTTTTGGATGAGCCAACTCTAGACTATATATAATATACTGTAAATATCCCTTAAAAAACCCAATATATTCTTTGTTGCAGATCTTGCTGCTGGGGGCTCTGATGACTGGGCTTATGATACTGGTGTGAAGTATTCCTATACTTTTGAGCTGCGTGACACCGGAAGATATGGATTTGTTCTCCCTGAAAATCAGATCAAACCCACTTGCGAGGAAACTATGCGGCCATCAAATACATTGCCAACCATGTCATGCTCAATGCATAAAAACAACTGAGAATTGTAAAGTTCCATGTTTATTTAATGATTTGATTCCAATCACTTTGACGAGGCTAGGCTTTAATTTGCAGTTGGATAACAGTGGAATAACATGGATATAAAATCTATTGATAGGGAAAGAAAGTTACAATAAAGAATGTTTAGTGGAAATATGGATATAACTGATCATTTATTTTATATTTTACATTGTTGATTAACCACACATACTGTATATAAAGTTCTGATGTATAAGCTTCACTTGTTTTAAAGCAGTCCATCCAGGAAAAGTAAAAATATAAAGTGTAGCAATACTCCCACAGGAGCTGCTTGTATTTTTGCCCAGATCTCCCACTGTTTCACAGCCAGGTACATACGCTTCCACTCGTTGTCTTCAATGACCAGTCTAGGAGATGTTGTTTTGGAAGTTTTATTGTAGAACTGGAGATAGGGATTGGAAATGTAGTAGGATACTCCAAAATTAGAACTATTCACATCTAACCAATTGCTTACTGAAGCACCATTGAAGTCCTGGCTGAAAGCAGAAAGCAGACTTCTCTTTGGATTGTAGTAATTAGTATTCTAGGAGTGAATAAAGTCCCTTTAGCTGTAGTAGTAGTAACAGGACTGAGGTCCTCAGGTATAACCCAGTTATGAAAGACTGACAGCCCAAAGGAAACGTAGCTGAGCAAACTCCTATGCAGTAGCAGCAATTGCACAAGCTCTTCAGCACAC